CTTCTACTTCATTGCCACAGAAGATCTTTGAATTTTAATCTATGGTCAAACGCACAAAATTCTGAGACAACGAAAGGTTTTTGAAAGAGTTTTTTTAAGTTTTAAGAATCCAGAAAAGTGCTGATCTCAGCGTTTAAGACGAACTGGATTGAGGTGGAGTAGCTTACCGCCACCCCCTCGGCGATGATTTTTATTCGTTTCTTCACATATCCAGAGTGTAACAACTTCATACATAATACACGTATATATAGGAGAGAGATAGGAGAGACAGGAGATATATATATATATTAGAACAATGGACAGAGAACAGAAAGAGAAGAAAGGAGAATCATCGAAGAGTGCCATCAATATCGGCACAATTACGTTTAATACATTGCTTCTCCAGGAAGGTCATATATTTGAGGGAAGTTTTACTTACGAAGAAAGGTCGAAAAAGTAATCAACAATGAGATTCAACAATTGGCTTCTATTAGCTATGTAACAACAGGGACGTTTTGAAATTTATTCAATCTCAAGTTTACCATATTCACACTTTACAAACCAAAAGATTTTTTCTCAATAATCAGAATATTAGCAGAAGGATTTTGTGGAATTCAAATATTCTATCGAAGAAAATAAGGAATGTCAGTTCTAAGTCTAAGTGTTTTGACGATTCCCCCTGTCGAATGAAGTCAAGAGCAACAAAGTCCCCATTAAACACTATAGTAACTAAGAAGTTTTACAGTTCTTCAGTATTTTCACTTTTAATAATTATGTGAGCTCTATATTTCCGCCCAAAAAGGAACTGTGATAATAGCTTCCTTGCCAAAATCAGGACGGTGGTTGTGTATGAGATTCAAACGATACTCAAAGTCAAACTAACATCCTTACCGTCAGTAATGAAATCAATTAAAAGCTCACTAAAATAAGGATTAACATAGCTTTCACCCATTTCTACTCAAGATTAGAAGCGAGTGAAAAAAAATATATGCACCTTCGGTGAATTACAACACGTTACTCTTCAAAAAAGAGTACTTATTTTATTTTATTGAGTTAATAAATATCTCGGGCATCAATAGAATTGTGTTGTTTGTCTTTTTTCCATATATGTCCAACTTGAAACTTGAATTCAATTGAAAATTGAAATTTTCAATTTTCAACTTTTAAACCAATAGCATTCTGAAGAATGGCGACTCACACATATATCGCCATACGTTGAAAGTTGAACTTTTCTATTTTCAACTGAATTCAAGTTTCAAGTTTGACACTACTGTTTTTTTTCTGTCAAAGTAAAGAATTGAATCCGAGAGCAGTCATCCAATTCCGCAATGTTGAACATTCCGGAACCAGTTCCGCCCGGAATCAGTTCGTCGATTCCGGAATTAGGTCAAATATGAACACTGTCCGATTCCAGAATTGGTTCGTCCGATTCCGGAATTGGTTCGTCCGATTCCGGAATTAATTCCTGCGATTCCGGAATTGCTTCGTCCGATTCCGGAATTAGTTCGTCCGATTCCCGGAATTCCTAGTAATTCCGGAATTACAACTTGTGTCACTATATTCTAGCTTGTCTTACCCAGTTCGTGATGATCCGATTCCGGTCCGGAATTCCGGAATTAGGTCAATACGGAATCGCTGGGAATTACACGGAATTCCTAGGAATTCCGTGTAATTCCTAGCGATTCCGTTCAATTCCTGTTCGACCTAATTCCCGGAATTCCGTACCGGAATTGCTTTCGTCACCGAGCTATAAGATATATCAAGTGTCCATTGATCACTCAATTCCGGGATCGCTGGGAATTAGACGGAATCCGTTTGAATTCCGTGTAATTCGGGAATTGAATCGGATGGGATAAACGGAATTCCGGGAATTAGATGGAATTGGTCGGCAGTGATTCCCGGAATTCCGGAATTGAATCGGAAGGGATAAACGGAATTCCGGGAATTAGATGGAATTGATCGGCAGTGATTCCGGGAATTCCGGAATTGTGTTGGAAGGGATAAACGGAATTTCGGGAATTGGATGGAATTGGTTCCGTGAGCGGAACTAATTCCGGAATGTTCAACATTGCGGAATAGAATGTACTCTCGTTAATTTAAAATTAACGTTAACTAAAAGTGTTAACCGTTAATATGAACGGCTAATGATTTTAGTTAATTATCGCCGTTAATTAACTCGCATTAAATTAAATGGTCCACCCCTAATTCGCAGAGAATGGATCTTTTTCGAGTCCTGAGTAAGATACAGATTCACATTCATATTCACACCGTAATTCACTCTTTCTCATCGTTGCATTTATGCTTACACATCTGCCGGACATGTGCAAGCAAATACGCATTCTCTTCCCTAGTGACACTTGATATTTTCGTTACTGTTGATAATGAATCATAGGCTGATTAAAAAAGAAACGGGTGGAATTTTAGCAGAATGCATATAGTAAAAATAATTTTTATTGCAACAACAGTGCATTTTATCTTAAAATAAATATCAGTGGGTTTTTCCCCAAACTGTTCTTTTTTGTTCTGTTTCAATGTATCGTCTAAATTACAGAATGATTCATGTTACTGTTTTAAAAGGAACTTACTTAGTAGTATACACTGGGTAAAAAGATTGTGATGGCAAGATAAAGTAGCGTACACATTAAAACTCCTCACATAACATGCCGCACCCATTCGTGTACATTTAAAAATCTTCTGGAGACAAAATAAATTCATCAGCTATAAGTAAGATTTTACGTTCTATCTAATATTCTATATAATGCATAAAATGACGCTTATACGAGAAACAAATTAAAAATTGGTGATCAATATTTTTACGCATTTTTTCGGGCATTTAGATGAGGTGGAACAGTGGTTTGCTTGTACTGAGTGAAATTTGGCTCTATGTTTGTCCTTTCTAATTTCTCTAGATTAAATTCACACAGTTTCTACTTTGCACTATTTGCGTGAAAAATAAGAAAAAAGATCGGGAGATATGTACAATTTTTCTTTCTGCATACTATCGTATAAATGGGTATTTGTACGATTTGAATTGAGGTGATGTCGAGTAAAATACAAAATGAATTATATATTTTATAGTTCATTAAATAGTATTGTGATAAAAAAAATATGTTAATATTTTCATCCCGGTTCAACTAAAGGAAGCCATCCTAGAAGAACTTCTTGTAGCATACGCACAAGATACTTGAGAATCTGAAACAAGAAAGTAATACGCCATGGACAAATTTTGAGAATTGCACAGATCAAGAATACGAAAAAAAAAATTCGCCTAGATGGTATATTAATTATAACAAACTTGACCGATATTCTTTCTCCTAACATTTTCTTTTAGTTCTTCTCTCTTCTCTCCTTTCTTCACTCGTCTTCCATGACGTACAAAAAGGAAAAGAAGGAGAAGAACTGTATGTATTGTTATAGTAGAGTTCTTCATAGTAACGTATACTCAATAGTACATTCGGGGTAAATGTTCTGTATTGAAATAAATTGAAACAATAACTTGTGACAGCATTAACATAATGATATTTCGTTACAATCCTTACGCCACACCCGCACCCTCTTTTTCTTAGTGCTTGAACACTGCTGCATGCTTTCCTGAATTTTTAGATTAATATTGTCTACACTATTGAATTAGTAATTAACAATATCCATTTCAATTTAATTTCAAAAATACAATGGCATCAAATATATTACGCGAAAGCTGGAGTATTAAAATTGTACCGATCCCTGTGAACATTTCGTTCACCGAATTGGCTAAGGCAATAGATTTGCCAACGTCCCGCGTATTCATTCCAAAGATTTATAAAAACAACGATCGTTATGCATGGATAAATAACTTTTCCAGTAAAGAAGAAGCCGATCAATTTGTACTGAAATTGTCAGCTTCATCAATTTTTGATGCAACTGTAAAATTTGAAGTGAATACATCGAAAAGCACTAGCGCAGTTACTACGCATCCATCGCATCAAGTCACAATACATCCCATAGCACCATTAATGAATCAAAAAAAGCAAGATAGACGAGATGATTATAATCCGACTAACAGGCATGTAGTTCGTACGGCTATGATCACGGATCGGATACCCGATTCTACAATGGAATCAAAGCAGCATGCTTCTCATCGACACCAGAATAGAACTCAAGATAATTACAAGCCACAACAAACGTTCCAAAAACCACAGGAATCAGGTAGATTGTCAGTTTTCAATGACAAATGATTGCTTTTTTCAACATTGTGACTTTTATTCACTTCAAAGTTTTATATGAAAGCTGAATCTTTAGCTAGGAAGTACATGTGCAGTGTAGTTCCCTATTACCCCAAGAAAAACTAGATTTTCACTAGCTTAACTATGAATCAAACTGTAGCAGTTCGAATAAGCCAAATGTTCAAACATAACGTGCAAAACGCCAGCTTTATTTTATCTAGATCAATTTATAGGCCCAGAAAACTAGTCAATAATAGGCATCTGATTACATAGATGTCATAATACCTTTACACTGGGTATCGAGAGCTTTACGTCACAATACCCTATGCAGCAATACTTTATGGAGTATCCATTCGTAGTGCATTTACAACTTGATGTAACCACATTAAGCGTATCCACTTTTGGGTATCCACTTTTGGGTATCCACATTTGGGTATATGTATATGTTTTGAAAAGCTGAGGAATTTGAGTTGTTTTGGTGTATCTACTTTTTGGGTATCCACTTTTGGGTATCCACATTTATATACATATATATGTTTTGAAAAGCTGAGGAATCTGAGTTGTTTTGGTGTATCCACTTTTTGGGTATCCACATATATATATATATATATATATATATATATATATATATAAATGTGGATACCCAAAAGTGGATACCCAAAAAGTGGACACACCAAAACAACTCAAATCCCTCAGCTTTTCAAAACATATATATATATATACATAAATATGAATACCCAAATTCGGATACTCAAAAGTGGATGCACCTAATGTGGATACTGTAGCGTGTTTGTGCTAATAAGTCGTTACCGGGTGTAAGGATATTATGACATCACTCTCAGATTATTGAATGAACTGCGATGTTTCATAATTAGGATATCTTCTAGAGGTGTTGCAGTTAAGTTTTCATTATTGCCGTTGATGCTGTTGTGGATGCTTAATGTTAAGCATCCACTTTCAAACTTCATGCTTCATAAATGAGAACTTTTTTGTCGAATATCAGAGTTTTGTCATAAGTAAAACTGACCTGTAGGTATCTTTCTTTGTATGGAACTTCAGAGAGTTTCGACTTAGTTGTAAAAAGTAGAGCATTTTGAAGTTCCGGATGGTACTTAGTTTGTTTATCATATGCCTATACTAAGGAAACATACCTACAGCAGAAAATCTCAGAAAATACATTGGTCTAGTTGAGATAAAAACATTTATTGTAAACTAATTATTTTAGGTTTATTCACACTAAGGAATACAACGAGAAAGACACATGTTGAAGACAAGCATCAGCTGTGTCGATTTGCAAATAAAGGAACTTGTCGCGACAAAAGTGACGAATGCAAATATCGCCATCAACGATGTGAAAATTTTGACTCGTGTTCAATTGAAAAATGTCTCCTTGCTCATGGAAAAAAAGAGACGCCTCCAAACCTCCGAGCTGACCCAAATGATAAAGATGAAGATCGACATATTCGCCATCCAAGTAGTCATAGGAGTGATTCATGCTCCTCAATGAGTTCAACACAATCGATGGCTACAAAAGCAAAGCCATGTTTAAGTGGCGTTAAATGCTTCAAAACAGATTGCCTATTTGATCATCCAAATGGCTGGAATCCTTGCTGCGATGGAGCAAAATGTGAAGATTATGAATGCACTGCGAACCATCCATTTCAACGAAAAAGAAAATGTAACGGTGGCAATCATTGCAAAATTAGTAACTGTAAATTCTTACATCCGAATACACGTTCCGAAGAATGTTCTTTGCGTGCAAAATGTCGAAAATGGAATTGCTCAAAGTTGCATCCACGTTCTCGTGCTCAACTTTGTACTGATAGAGAAGAATGCACGAATTTGGCTTGCTTATGTTTACACCCACCTCAACGTGCCACAATGCTTTGTCCCATTGGAGCTGATTGCCACGATATATCTTGTAAGCTCAATCACCCACCTGAACGACCATCTTTATGTGATCAATCAAATGATTGCTCAAATTTTAATTGCACACGCCTCCATGGGCCGGATTGGAATCCATGTGAAGCAGGAGATGAATGTGAAGACGAAGCATGTACTAAAATTCATACACATGAGCGCAATATCAAGCTTCAACAAAAAACAGCAACGCTCACCACCATCAACAATAACAAGAAGAATCAAAAATCAAAGAACTTGAAAACTCTAGAGCAGAGAATGAAAGATTGGGAGAAAGCTCAATTGCCGATTCTTGCTTATCGATCTGAATTTTGTCAACGTCTTGAACATGAACGTGTTTTGATTGTGACTGCTGAAACAGGAAGCGGTAAGAGTACACAGCTACCTCAATATGCTGCTGAAGTTTTTGGTTCACTTGTCGTTTGTACTCAGCCACGTGTCGTTGCTGCTCTATCGTTAGCTAATCGCGTTGCAGAAGAATATAATGGAAAATCAGTTGGCGAATCTGTTGGCTATCAAGTAGGCAATGCAAATCGAGTAGCAGGAACTCATATCATGTTTATGACAGATGCTGCACTCATTCGTGAAAGTCAACGTGATCCTAGTTTGAAACGTATACGTGTTCTTATTATTGATGAAGCTCATGAACGTTCATTGAATACAGATATTGTTATTGGTATGTCGAAAATTTTACTACAACAGCGTCCGGATGACTTTTATGTTGTGATTGCTTCGGCTACAATTAATCCTACTCGTTTTCTTCAGTTTTTCGATCGACCACAAAGTAAACCTCTCGAAGTAAAAGGACGGGTTTTCCCCGTTACTTGTATTGAAAAGCCACCACCATCTAATTGCTCCGAACACAAGTTGATTGAATCCCATATTGTTCCTTCTGTCATTGAATTATATTCTCATCATGAAGGGCATACACTCGTTTTTCTACCTGGTCAAGGTGAAATTCAAAAAGCTCTCAAAATGTTTAATTCTAAACTTCCTGATAATTGTACTGCTCTTGCACTTTATGGCTCCCAATCACCTGAAGATCAAGAAAAAGTCATTAAATTTAATGACAAAAACAAGCGAATGGTTGTTTTCTGTACAAATGTTGCTGAAACATCATTAACGATACCAAACGTTCGATTAGTGATTGATTCTGGCTGGGCAAAAGAAGCTCGCTATGATGTTAAGCGTCGCGTCACCGTTATCGAAACTGTACGTATCTCACGATCTTCGGCTGACCAACGAAAAGGCCGAGCCGGAAGAACTGCATCTGGACACTGTGTACGTTTGTACGAAGATGTTGAATTAAAACGACCAAATATTGAGCCCGAAATTTTACGATCATCACTTGATCTCGTTTTACTCCAACTCATTCGACTTTCTCTTGATCCTAACACATTTCCATTTATGGATCAACCCACGAGCGATGTGATCAACCAATCTGTTGAACTTTTGACTAAACTTAAGTGTATAGACGAGCTAAAAATTACGAAGAGAGGCGAATTATTCACTGAGCTTGGTCTTGATCCACGTCTCAGTTCTTTTATTGTAGAGATTTACACAGAATATCAGAGTCTGTTAGAACTTGCAGTTGGTATTGTTGCTATACTTTCAGCGCCAGGCAACATTTTCTTCATGGGTGGACCGACATTAGAAGCTAAGCAAGAAGCAAAAGAGCGTCTTGCTCTTTTAGCGCATAATCATAAAAGCGACCTTATTCATCTATATTCAGTCTACAGCGCATGGAAAAATACTGGTGCAAAAGCAACGAAAGGCAAATGTTCTGAATGCCAAAGACAAATCAAGTATTGTATTTGTCGGATCAAGCATAGTAATGAAAAAGGCTTGAATAATAAAATCCTACAGAATATTGATAGTTCATCTGCGACGATCATGAAGCAGATTAAAAATGCGAGTTGGCTACAACCTGGCAGTGAAATGTCACAAAATGCGATGGATATTATCAGTAAACAACTGGCTCTATTCTTTCCCGAACAATGTGGTTACTTACTTGTTCCACAATTGCCAACCGAAGGCGCACGACTAATATCAACTGATATACGTGCAAATATTGCCAACGCTAGTGTGTTCATGCAGAAGCTTCATGCCGATACAAATCGTGAACTTTATCAACACTTCGTTGCTATGACCATCACTCAATTGACGTCAGGAAATTATATTATCGAAAAACTTCATCCAATACCTAGAGCAATAGCAACAGCTCAATCATCAATAAAAAGTTTGATGACCATTGAAAATATCGGATCTGAAGTATATTATCATATGCGTCAAAAACTCAACACTTATCAATCAGAACCATGGGCAAAATGGCTTGTCTACCAATACGATCGCGTTTACTGCCGTCTTAGTCTTTGGGGTCTCGAAAACGATAAAATGATAATCATGCCGATCGTTGAACGCATTCAAAATGAAACATTAAAAAAGCTTTTAGAAGCTCATGAACTATTGGAATGTGGAACAATTAAGGCCAATTTTCAGGGTGGTCTCATTTGCACGCACATCAATAAAATGGCCAATGCCTTAAAGGTTGATCTTCAAAATGTGCCGAAACAAACAGTGAATGAGTTAAAAATTTGGCTGAAAAAGATCCTCGATATCGAATGGGATGAAATTAAAGAGCACAGTTTTTATACGCCAAAAGTCGAAACAGAGCAGAAAAACAGTAATGACGAAAGTAAACATTTATGTCTGGTATTTAAAACAGAAGATGCATTTCGAAGAACCGTAAACAAAATTCCTTCTTACTACATGAGTGAACAATGCAATAATAGTGGAACTCGTAAAGACACAGAGAAAGAAATTTGGGGTCGAGAGCTTATTATTGAAACTCCAGACAATGTGAACGATAACGATATTATCAATCTATATGGTGCCGATGTGATCATGAAATGTTTACAGTTGAACAAGAAAGATGAAAAAACACATGTACAGTCGTCACTTAAATTAAATAACTTACCAATAGAAAGTGATGAAGCTTTCCTTCGAGAATGCCTTCGGAAGGATGGGGGGCCTAATCCAAAACATGTACATGTTGGATGTACTAAAAATAATTTAAGCGGCTGGGCAAAAGTAACATTTGCTGATCTGCAACAGCGTAATAAGGCGGCAATGATTTTTGATTTAGCACTGTGTCAGAATTCATTTCCAATAACTATCCAAGGAAAGAAAGGTCCTATGCAAAAATTTATTCAAACAACATTCTCGATCGATGAGGATGCTAATGCTGCACATTGTGTTGTCAAAAATCGTTTTCGTATTATTCTTACCAGTCGTGAAGTTGCCTTACGCATATTTTCTTCACCACCATCAACAACAACGACTGCAAGCCTGGCAATGGCAACCAATACTACTAATTCTACCGACCCATCTCAATGGACAGTCGACAGCGCAGCGACTGTAACTATTATGCGAACTGATTTATATCCTGATTTTGAAGAAATTATTAATCGTATTTGTAATAAATTTGGTGTCAAAGTCAAATCCAAAGATATTCCAAACTTTGGCAAACGTTGTACATTCAATCACGGAAGTCCTCAGAAAACAAGTTTAGCTGCTTCAATGCTCGCTCAAACATTTGCACCAATGAACATAAGATTGAATACAGATCGGCAAAAGGCATTGTTCAATGAACTAGAAGAAGTTGGTGAAATGCAAAGATGGGCATCTGAATTAGCACTATGTATCAATAAAAACAAGTATAACACAAATATTGATATTCGAGGACCACAAATAGCACAAGGTCAGTTAATGAGACGAATCGCTGATTATTCCGATAAATTTGATAAACGCTTTCGTGAGTACCAACTAAATGCAACAGTGGCAGCTTTTTTTGGCCGACAAAAAGCAGCATCAAACAAACTAAAACAAATTGATTCAAGATGGTCATCAAAATATTGTTCGGTATACTTTATTTTGAAAACATCGACGATTCTCATCATTGGTAAACCGAAAGTCTCGTTGACAGATATGAATGATTGCGAAAAAGAAGTTGTGCAGCTTTTAGACGAGCAAACTGTCAAGACTGATAACGAAAACAGTGAAAATGACGACGAGGAAGAAGACAAAGACGATGACGAAGATGTGGAAGAAAGCGCTGTGAAAAATATTCAAGTTATGGGGCAGAACCGTCGATGTGTGTTTTGTAAACAAATATCATCGATGTCTGCAAGTACCTTTCGTATTTGTGGTCATACATTTTGCCGATGTGCTGCACAAGCTCTCACTACATATCTTACATTGCCCTTGGAATGTAGAGAGTGTAAATCGAACATTCATATTCGTGATATTCAGATCATTTTCAGTAACGATGAACAATTATTTTTGAATTTACTCAAAAGTTCCATTCAAGATTATTTAACAAAAAACGCAAAGCAAGATGATCGTGTATTTTGTCCTAATGATGAATGTGATGGTTTGATTAAACTTAATCTTGACTATCAAACTTGTCTAACTTGTGGTCAAAACGTCTGTCCTAAATGTCAAGTCATCGGCGATGAAGTTCATGTGGGACGAACATGCGCTCAACTTCTTCAAGAAAAGAAACGTCGAGAGTTCTTACCTCAACTTTTTGAAGAAGCTAAAAAATTTGTTCAAGAAAATTGGCCAACAGATGCTAATATGGTACCTATTGGTCGAATAGATGAAAATCCCTATCTTGAAAAACAATATAAAACATTAAAGCGCTTTTATGAAGGTATCAAAGCATTGAATCATGATTTGCCACCTGATTTAGGAAAAGGGTTCTTTGCTTATCATGGTACACCCTCTGCAGCTATTGTACCGATTTGCCAAAGTGGCTTTGATCCAAAACGCCGTTCTGGTCAAGTATATGGTCCTGGCGAATATTTTGGAGTAACGGCAAGTGTCTCGCATGGTTATGCTCAGAGAGGAAACCAGTTAACAGGATCGAATCAAATGATTATTGCTTATCTTCTACGGGGTTCACATGTAAAAACCGTACAAAACTTTTGTTACGTGGTCGCTAATCCGACAGATTGGAAATTCGCTTTTAACTTACCAGTTCTTATTGTTACATATGGACTAACAGCATCCAGTCAGCTATCACCTTTCCCAAGTACAATACTTGACTATGTCGACGATGAACCTTCATGGATTGCACCTTTCCGATGGTATTGGCGTCAAGATAATGGCCAATTCGAACCCTACAATGATACAATTAATGACATACTTGAAAAATTTTATCAACAATGGAAGTTTCATGGAGGACCATCAACAGTTGAAACACCACCGCTCACTCGCTATTTAGATGATATTCCGCTACCGTATAGGATCGACTACAAAAATAATAAACAGACTAATACGAAAACGTCTTATACGCGAGCTATTGATCGTCGACCGTTGGAAAAGCAACCTGATAATCAAAATTGGTTTTACCATAATGAGCAAAATAATTGGATGCGTTATGAATTATTGGTGCAAAACACGATTGAGAACAAGTTTCAACTATATAGATCTGGACATGGGTCAGCAACCATTGATATTCATTTTCCTGGACGTCCTGAGACTTACGAGATTAACTTTTTAAAAGGTCAACAAACAAACAAAACTACTAATGCAGTTAGAAATATAAAACGTGAATAAAAACACTTTATGAAGAACATACTAGTTGAGATTTTTTGTAGCATTATAGTCAAATAGAAGAAAATAAAATTAACTGAAGCTTCAATTGACCTTCAGATATTACGGATTGATATTTTATATTTGCAGGTGTGGGTATGAAGCTTACAGAACCACGACCACCATATTCCCATATATAATCTTTTTTAATACTCGCACATATCTTGGGCATTCTGATATTTCTTGAGATATTTTCTTTTAAGAAGCATTGCTTTGTCTTCTTGACTATAGTTTTAAAACTTGGTGTGATGTGTGGATGTGAGTGAGGTGGATGGGTCAATGCACGTGGCTGAGCAAATACCAACAACCACACATCACAGCCGTATATAGGTTTAGCTTTCTGTAGTGGAATTTCCGAATTGTTAATTTTTTCGGTTCTGTGCAGTTTAAATTTGGAAAAACCCAAACTGTGTACATATCTCTTTCTGGATGTGATCACTTTACTATGAAATATTTTCACACACAGGTACATCTACATCCTAGAATTAAGACACCGTGTCACGGATAATGCATTCATGAGAGTTTTTTTAATAGAAACAAGAGGAAATCATAAACATAGCAGAAATAATTTGATTCATCCAATTATATGACGCAAACGTTCATTTCTAACAACAAGCTATTTTATTAATTAAAGTTCACATGAGATAAAAAAAATAAGAATCAAAAACGAAAGACTACTTTCATAGTAATATGTTTGCCTGGAATTATTCTTGATCTAGTTGATGATGAATCAGAAAGAATAATTTGTTCATTAGTCATTGTTGCTTTAACAATACAACTATTCTTTGTCAATTGTTGATCTTTTAATGAAATCTAAATATATTAGAACAAAATGCTTTTCCTACGATTTTGAACTAGAATTTTTTGTATTTACTTTTTTTTCAATTCGCCACGTATCTTGTACAATATTTTGCTCTGGTTGAATTTCTTCTTCTGGTGGAGCAGGCCATTGTTCATTATCAATTATTGAGTTTTGTTTCTTAAAAAGGGTTCACAGTTTTTATGTTAATATTATAAACGAAAGCGACCTACCGATGGTTCATGATTCAATTGACCAGAAACAGTTGTTATTGATGATGATGACAATAAACGGTAAGAATTATATGATTTACTGGATCCTGATGATGACATAGTGGAACATGAAGAACAAGAACGAAGTGACATCTATAAAAACAAAAAAAAAAGCATATAAGTAAGAGTCATGACAGAGAAGAAACCTCTTTGAATTATTTAAAGATAATGGTTGATTGACGTCAAATAAGACTCAAGTATAGAAGTGTGAGTCTGATAAAAGTACTATATCAAAAAAAAACAATGTCATCGAAGGAACAAGAACAAAATATATCTGTATGGCATGATCGAGAGATTCGATTTGATGTTTCTCCGAAGTAATTCATTTTCTCATATCTATTTCGAATAACAAAAATAAACGTCTATTTTAGTGATCTTAAATGTCGTTCCGGTGAATTTATTATTGATACACTTAGTTCCGTCGAAGATACAAAAGGAAATAATGGTGATAAAGGTAAATTAATAATTGATTTTGTTTGACAGCTATAAAGAGAACGCAAGCTCAAAGAAAAATGACCCCATAGTCAGTTATATCAAAACCTAGCCTGACAGAGTACGATCAGAATGATATTTTTGTTCTTGTAATTTCATATAGGAAAACTTACTATAACCAATATTCGTCTTATTTGGCATAGTCATTCATCATCACGTATCAATCTTTGTATGTAAATGAATATTAACGAAATATAATTTATTCATGTACTCTTCTTTTTTTTGTTTAAGCTATCGGTCTTTATGCAGTCGTGACAATTACTGCTCGAAATGCAAAATCGGTATTACTATTCTTATTGAGAATCTTAATTGTGTTTACTCTATTTCTATGATAGAAACTTCGTGGTAGTACAGAATCGTTATATCTTCTAACCAAATCTGGTTCATCGCGTTATGAATTTATATTTACAAATCTTATAGCTGGCTCCAGTGCGATGCTTAATTCTGTTGTTGCTGTTCATAAAGCATATGATTCGTCACGTCTCTATCGTGAAATTCGTCTTCGTTCATCATTACTTAATAAAGGTCAATTACGTATTCTACCTAAAGAACGTTTACATAATCGATACAATGGTGTTTGGAATCTTTCGTCTGATCAAGTATTTTCTTCGATTATATTTATCTATTAGAGACATGAAACTTTATTTTTTTTATCTTAGGGTAATCTCGGTATTTTTCATATAACAGACATTCGTGTTATATGGCACGCAGAGCTAAATGAAAATTTTAATGTTAGCGTACCTTATTATCAAACAAAAAGTATTAAAGTTCGAGATTCAAAATTTGGCTTAGCACTTGTTATTGAAACAACACCATATGTAAGTGAATTTCTCTAAGCTGTGTTTCTATTCGAAGGTGTTTTTTCTCCAGAGTGGAAACTATTTGCTTGGATTTCAATTAGCACCCGAGGAAAAACTTCGAGAAGTTCATAAAGAAATTCTTACACTTCATAAAAGGTAATGTCAAAGACGGATTTCATTTAACATTCGAGCAAAGATCATTTATTTAGTTATTTTGCAAATCCAGAATTTGGTGTACAATTTTCCATAGAAGACCAGTCTGATCAACCTGCTACACGATTGGAAAGTAAAGTCGATGATATTGAAATATTACAAAGTCGAGAACATACAGATTCATATGCAGTATGTTTTTTAATTCGATGTAAAAAATAATTCTTCACTTGTGCTTCTTTTTGTGTTAGACTTATTTGACTGATGCTGGTAAACATGATCATGAACCTGTCTATTCTGAAGAACTTGGTTTAGCTATTGAGAAACTACCTCAAGGATATACATTGGGTAGTCTTTGGGATATTCTTAGTTGAAATGAATGTTGATTGTAAAGATTTATCAATTTTTTAAATTATATTTATCGAAATAGAAAATCGGTTAACAAAAAACATATTGGTTTTGTTAAATCGTTTCTTTCTGTCAGTCGAAATTTACTCATTAAATACGACATTACTAGTCATAAGTAAATACAGGGAACCCATGCGCAAAAATCTGGAGAAAAAAATCAAGTTTTTCTGTTTTTATTTACAAGTTTCGTTTTGTTAAAATGCAGAAAATAGAAAGAAAAACAATAATCATAGAACTACTACATTTTGTTTTCTAAATTCAATCGAGTCTTTGAGTAGTCTGTATAAACTATGATTTCTTCATGAAAGATCTCTACAGAAACGAATATCCGATATTGCTGGTGATCGAAAACGATATGATCTAGAGAAAAAAAATGAAGCATTATCTATCTTAAACTTAACATCCATTTTCTCTTACCGATGTTTTCTATTTCGATGTGGTACTTTGTCGTTCGCCATCAGAGTCACATCTGAATCGACTTGAAAAAGAAATTGGCAATTATTCATAAAGATATTTACATACTATTCTGGCTTATTTCTGCAGTCACGTACTTTGAATATTGATTGTATTTATTTTCTTCATGAACACATCATTTTTTCGTGATCATTTTTTGAGTTGGAACTGGTATACGAGGAAATAATATACCGATCCATCTACAAAAACGTTTAGTTATACAAAAAAAAACAACAAGCTTTAGATTAAAATGCACTTACTCAATGTTTGTTAACCATTGGCATAACGCAGCCACCACCAGCTTGTACATCTAATGTCTAATTTAAAAAATAATTCATTTGGTGGTTGAGTATATCTTTAGAAAGATAGAAATAAAATTTTCAGTGAATAATAAAATTAGAACTGTTAACATACCGAATATACAATATATGATGAATCTGTATGAATAGTTAAGCTGATGGCTTGTTTTCTTGTTGATTTTCTTGTATATAATTTATATAAAATACGAAATGGTGTTGATAGAATACCGCCTCCGCCAACACCACGGGCCTAAATAAGTACACAACATATTAGAATCTATAAAACTAAATCGATTCGATATGAATAATACAACTGAAATTCTGTAATAGTCAGTTCAATTTCCAGTGAATTTTGATTCTGTTCATACACAGAGAATCGACTTTTAATTACTATCCTTTTGCTAGAAAAAGAATATAGTGATGAAACTCGAGATCTAATTGGGAATCTAAAAGCCGCATTGATTTCCGTACTAGAATTAATGTTCTAATTTTAATTTTCGACCTTACCCAAATTAACTTATTGAGACAAATTGTTCATCGTGAAATTTTCTTGTGCAAATATCATTATTGAAAAATTTTCTATACAATAAAGTAAACTTTGATTTTGATATGTAATAATTCTTATTGACCTAATTACATACTCCTCCACACGTGCCAATTAATCCTGATGTTTTACGACTTCTTTTTCCGCCATGGTTCCAAATGTTTAACCTAGAAAAGAAGATGAATCGAGAAATAAAAATTAAACGAAAATTTTACTTGATAATAAATTTCATCGACAACGTCATGATAATTTTTTTTCGAATAAATTAACTTCATTCATGAGCCATGTTTCGTATTATAACTTACAATCTAAAATTTTCAAATAGAAAACAAAATAAATAACATAAAAAATTAATTCTTCGCTTTTTAGGTTTAGGAAGACTAAATATAATCAACAATTCTGAATAGAAAATATATGTTTATCCATAGAAACATAGGCACACAACAATCATGTCGTTCATAGAAATCAGAAACCGAATCATTTTCCCATTGATTTTGTTAGAAAAGCCGAGAAAAAAACAATGGAAAATACTCATGAGGAAGTAATAGACAGTTACACTTTTATTTTAGCCACCAAATGAAACTAATAACCTTCCCTGTTTATAATAAAAAATAGTATTAAAAATACATATGTGCAATTCATTGAAAAGCCAATCAAAATTTGGTTGCTGATAGAAAACTTTTCGTTGCATAAAAAACTAAGTAAATATAATCTCTTGATTTCTATCGAGATCAATAATTCCACCTTTTTCTTTTTGCTGTTGAAAGAGAGCATTCATTTTCTCTTGCCATTGTCTCATCGTAGGCGAAAGATTTCTGATTAATTCTTCATTTTCGTGATTGTCATTAATGATTTTCATAGAGGATGACGACAGTAATTGTTCAATGATATTACTTGAAAGTATTTGTCGACACACAGGATCTTCAATATCATTACGAAAATCTTTTTCAATGAAAAATTTATTATTTATTAGTTCTTGAAATTTTTCTTCTAATTCAACTTTTTTCAATTTTGCATATGATGCAAGACAATGTTTATGATAAAAATGATGACAGTTTGTTTTTATAATATCATTTCGATTATCAATTGATGTTAAACATATAGCGCAGGCTTCATGTGGTAATTCATAGGACGATAATTTCGAACGTATTAATTCAATACATTCATAAAGTACACATGAACCATAATTTAATTCAAGACACGAAGATATTAATGAATTTAATTCATTTAATTGTTCATCTTTTAAACCACGAGATTGACAAAGAGTTATTTTTGGTGACTCAATTTCCGGATAGCAAGATGGAAGTTCAGCTATTAATGTAACATACAATAGACGTTTATCATGATCGAAATCATTTTCATCACCATTCGAATAGATTCTTATATTGACAAATGTTTCTTTGTCATTGCTGATAATTAAATCCTCTAGATAAATTGATTTTAATACAATTAATTCTTCATCCATGACATATGGGATAGATAGATGTTGGTTCTTGAGTAATGAAAATGAAATCCCTTTACGTAACGATAGGATTGGTTTCAGACAAAATCACCAATGAATGCAAAACAAAAACACAAGCGCTAATAGTCGTATTAAAATATTTTCGCATAAACGATGAATCCGATTATCAAAACGACTTAAACTAAGTACTTTTATGAAAATCAAGATGCAATAATTGATCCGATGATTACCCAATCGGGATATATTTATTATTTACTTACTTAGTATTATGTCCTATTTTCACTTCCACTGTGAAATATTCTAGATGACTCATCGGAAACTAGTTATTTCTGCTTCAGTTATGCACTTTAAATCTATAGATTTGAAAGACTGTCATAAATATCGAGACGCCTCTAATGAATTTACAGTAGTTCCATTTCTTCGTATAGTTCTTCATTACATTAAATCAAAAATTTGTAGGTTTATTCATTTTTCTCCAGTCTTTTTTGTAGATGTCGTGGATACGATATGCCTCTGTTTGTATTTGCCAGAAAGAAATGTCGTTTAATCCAGTTGACAGTGTAATAACGTAAACTATTGTAACAATGCGACTGTGAAAAAAAGTTATTTCAATCTCGAATGTATTCGCTAGATTAATTTTTGTGGTTGTTAATACTGACTAAGCATGATTATAATTAGAAAAATATATATGTTGATAAATATTCTGACATCATTTAGGTTTATAATAAAAAGAATCGGATTATTAACATAGAAAAGAAAACAGATTCAGGACTCGATTATTCTAATTTAGCGGTTGAGTTAAACTATTCCTTTGCAACTTATTCTATGGCTTACCTTTATGTCTAATTGATTTCTCTGGAAGTTTGATTATGAGTGATATTGACAAAAGGATTATCATATCTTTTGACACAAGTTATCTACAGTCAGAATTAAATGATGATGCCTTGCGTTTATGAAAGGATATTTTGTTTTTCATTAATTTCAAGAAAAATTCATTACTCACTCTTTTTTTTCTGTTACATCAGTATCCTGCCTAATTTCTACCGAGTTAAATTTATATTAAAAAAACGAATTCTTCAAATATTAATAAGAAAGAATGCCATTACTGTGATGTTCTTCGTTTACTTCAAAATCATTATTTATTTGAGTTGTTATTGATTTCTTTTTCAATTTTCAGATGATTTCAAGCTTACATGTTGCAGCATAAACTATATTTCTATGGAAAGTTCTTTTTGAAGACCCATTCCCAATATCGTGTAGCATACATTGCTCGTCGTACGATTTCGTACGATCAACATGAATCTCCGACCGTCCCTCATCATATTCATTCAACACCAACATTAAAACTAACTGAAAAACTTCCTTCATCATGTCATATTCTCATTGCTGGTGGCGGCATTATTGGCCAATCAATTGCTTATCATTTAAGTGAAATTGGCGTTAAAGATGTTGTACTTATTGAAAAAGCCAAGTAATAAAAATGTCTGAAAACATGAATTTTCGATAGCATTGTTCAATTTTGAACACAGTCCAAATATAGAGAGCAGCGATTAACACGCTGCTAATTAAAATCGAGAAAGAGGTCAAATGTGAGTAGATATTCTTTGCTAAGAGATGCTTTTGCTCATGCCTATTTTCCACAGTTGCTAAAATTTTACAACGAAATTCACGCTATGTAAATAGATTCTAATTGTTTATTTTTTAATATTCTTAAACAAAATAGATTAGCATCGGGCGCAACATGGCAGAGCTCTGGGCGAGTATCTCTTCTACACAATACAGTTATTGAAACACATTTCGCGAAATACTCAAGACAGTTATATGAAAAATTGCATAAAGAAGGACATGATATTGGTAAAATTTGCAAGTTTTCTTTAATACTATGTAGTAAATTTTCGTTATAGGTTTTCATGAAATCGGTAGTATATGGATCGCTCAAACGCCTGATCGGCTGCATACACTTCAACGACAATATTCTGCAATGAGAGCATTAGGTATTGGTTGTGAAATATTAAAAACAGAAAAAGTAGTTGAAAAAATACCGATTATTAATCAACAAGAAATATGGGTATAGAAATAAGTGAATGAGAATCTTGGTTGTTTTTCTAATTAAAATTTATTTATAGGGCGGTCTATTGATTTCCGATGATATCATGGTAGATCCTGTACCATTATGTTTAACATTTGCTCGATCAGCCATAGATAAAGGTGTGAAAAAGCAAATGTGATTTTCCGAAGCTTATATGACTATATTGATTATTTTCAGGAGTAAAAATTATTGAAGATTGTTATGTCACAGAAATTCTTACAGAAAAACAACGTGCTGGACAATATGATCGAGTGACTAGTGCTGTAACATCACAAGGAGAAATAACATGCGATGCTTTTATTAATTGTACAGGAATGGCAAGTTCGTTTTCTGTTCAGTTTCATTGAAAACCTATTGTATTTTAGTGGGCACGAGAACTCGGATTTCAATCTTCTCCAAGCGTTCGAATTCCTACAATGGCATGTGGTAAGTTTAAATATGACAAAAAGAAAAACCGAAGCAAAGTATGATGTTGAAAATATTTTCTTCTAGAATATGTGTGTTTAAAAACAAAATCAATAGGAAATTTTCCTAGTGATATTCCAATTGTGCATAATCCAGAAGAACGCTTTTATATACAACCATTACTTGATCATAGTTTATTAATTGGTGGTTTTCTGCGTCAATCAAAACCTGTTTTTACAAATGGTGTACCAGACACATTTCATTTTTCTCTTCTACCCGATAATTGGGACGATTTTCGTAAGTTATCTCTAGCCAATCATTAATCTACTGTAAAATTTTCTATAGATTGGATATTAAGCAATGCTATTAAACGATTTCCTATTCTTGCCGAAAGTGAATACGAAATATTAATTACTGGTGCTGATAGTTATACACCTGATGGTCGTGTAATTATGAATGAATCAGCTGAAGTTAGTCATTTGTTCGTCTACAAAAAAATTTTTTTATATGAAATATAAATCTTTAGATTGATAATTATTTCGTTGCCTCGGGTACAAATGGACATGGTATAGCACTGGCTGGTGGTATTGGTAAATATATGGCTGAATTAATACATAAGGGAAACACAGATTTCAGTACATGGCCAGTAGATATACGCCGTTTTATGCGCCTGCATACAAATAAACGTTTTCTTGAAGATCGTCTACGAGAAATACCAGGTAAAATTTTAATCATTTCTCAAGTCTTTTTTTTTACCATGAAATGACTGATATTAGGAAAACAGTATTCATTAAAATATCCAACATACGGTATGTCATTGTATCGAACGGGTCGAAAATTACGTGTTTCACCATTACATTCAAAATTACAAGCCGCTGGAGCAGTTTACGGTGAAGTACTTGGTTATGAACGTCCATTATTTTTTAAACCCGATGAAGCAGATAAAAGTATGTAGATGCAAAAAAACTTCTTTTTTTGATTAATTTTTGATTTTTGAAAGATTACGAAGATTTAAGTAAACAGGGAACATTCAGTAAAGCACGATGGTTTAATACAGTTAAAAAAGAATACAATGTTTGTCGAAAAGGTGTGGCTATTATCGATATGACATCATTTACAAAATATGAACTGAAATCAGCTAATCGAAGTGTTGTGGATTTTCTTCAAATGCTGTGTGCAAATAATATTGATAAACCAATTGGTACTGTTGTTCATACGGGAATGTTAAATGAACAAGGTGGTTATGAAAATGATTGTTCTGTAATACGTCTTGGAGAATATCAGTAAGATAAAGGCGTTATTATATAAACCAGTGTGTTATGTCTCGTTTTTTAGTTTTCTTTTGGTGAGTCCCACAGCACAATCTACTCGTAATATGAAATGGCTTAAATCTCATGTACCAGAAGATGGTTCTGTTCTTCTATCAGATGTAACATCTTTGTATACAGCATTGAATGTGATTGGACCAAAAGCAAAATATTTATTGGCAGAATTGAGTGATGAAGATTTTAATGATTTTGCAAGAATGACTTGTCAAGTAAGTAATACTTGATAGTAGTAAACAGATAGATTGGAGTAGAGTCCTGCAGGTTAAGACTTTTTTGTACCCTAACCCTGCCCTATAGTAAAACTTCGTACCCTTGTCCTACCCTGCCCTACGACGTTCTTACCCTAGCCCTACCCTGCCCTATAGCTTCGTAACCTTGCCCTACCCTGCCCTACGGGCTCTGTACCCTTACCCTACCCTATCACAGAGATTTTTCATTTTACACCCTATCATATCATTTGAGTTTCAGGTCCAAGTAAAAGTCAGCATGAAGTTTTTCTTCACTTTGTTTCAATATAATTTATTGATTTTCAACGAGAATCAAATACAAAATTAATAAATTTTTCGAAAGTTGCTTAAAAATAAAATATCATTCACAACATCACCACTTAAATTTTGCCTTCTCTCTTCCAAAACTCGCCCGTTTGTACTAAAAATACGTTCATGTCGAGATGATTTCGAACACATTTTTTATTACATTTACATGCACATTTACTCGACAAATAATCAAAAGTGACTGAACTCGTCAGCTCATGTATAAAATAGTACTAAACAATAGGCCATTGTTTTCCGTTCGTTTTTATTCTATCCATTCGATTTAGATTATGATATCACTCTTTACACTGTTTTTGATCAAAAAGATGTCAAAAATATATATTAAGTTCTACTCTAGAAAAATTTTATTTGTATGAGCTACACCCTACTTATACCCTAAATATTTTGTTTTTGTAACCTTACCCTGCCCTGCCCTACGAGCTTTGTACCCTAGCCCTGCCCTGCAGGGCAGGGTAGGGTAGGGTAGGACAAGGTTGACCTGCAGGACTCTAGATTGGAGTACGAATCGAATAACCTATCAACTAGATGACATTTGACTTACTCGTTTCGTTGTGAAAGCTCGAATGTGATTTACGATTAGTCATGAAAGTTTACTTTCATTTATTCCAATATATTTGTAATAGATTCAAGTCATTGTATAAGTCGAACTCAGTTTGCATGTCCTCACATAGAGCTCTGATAAAACGACTTGATGCTCACAATTACATGAATTCTATTTCCCATGATTTTCTTGATTGATTATATCTCTTAGACAAATATTAAAAAGAATTTATTTATTCTTTCTAGGAAATCGATGTTGGCTTTGTTAGTCATATCTATGCCATGCGATTAACACATACTGGTGAAGATGGTTTTATGCTCTATATACCATCAGAAGTAAAAATTAATTTATACGTCTTATTTTTCGAAATAAACCGATTTTCATTTTAGTACGCTTTATGCGTATACGACATGTTAATGGAACAAGGCAAAGATTATGGAATCATTAATGCCGGGTAAGATAATTTGTTTACTTGAAATCTAAATTGTAAATTTCTTTAGATATTTTGCACAACGAACTCTTCGAATCGAACGAATGTATCCATCTTGGGGACATGACATCGATAAGAAAACCACACCGTTTCATTTAAATCGAGAATATCATGTTTCATTCGATGTAAAATAATATAGAAATTTATTTCAATGAATTATTCTGTATGCCTTATTGTTTAGAAAGAATTTATTGGTAAAGAAGCTTTATTAAAACAGCGAAAAGTAGGAATGCAAAAACGATTCGTTCAATTCCTTCTTGAAAATCATAATCTCGATGCCGATCCATGGTAAATTTTTTTATACTCATCGATACTATAGTTGAAACTTTTTATTTAAGGCCATGGAGTGGTGAACCTATTTATCGTAATGGTGAATTTTGCGGTTTTGTTACATCATCAGCATATGGCTTTACACTAGGCAAACAAGTATGTATATAATTGGAAAAAAAATCAGAAATATTAATGTCTGTCGTGGTTGTAGGTCTGTTTAGGACATGTTCATGCTCCTTCTTCAGTAAATATAACAATGAATTATATTCGTGGTGCAACATATGAAATTGATATAGCGACTAAACGATTTAGGGCACGTCCCAATTTATATCAACCGTCGGAGATGGGTCCGACCGTTCAACTTAATATGAACTAGTTTATAAGTAACACACCGTGATGAATCTCAACAAATAGTCAATATCGATCAGTGTTATTTATCCGACATTTTTGTATTATGATATCCTGAATAAAACCTTTTATAGCAATCATGCTTTCAATACATATTTGTGTCTGATAAACAAAAGGGATTTATATCAAGAATCTATCCTTGAATAAATCATACGATTTCTTAATGAATTATTTTTTATTTGATAAACATACATCAATATGAATAGTCCTTATAACGATTATTTAGTTCAGATCACTCATTGAACTCGAATTTTCAATCTACAAAACACCTCGACATGTCTAATACTAACTACTGATCGAATGCTAGAATCTAATTAAATCAATTAATATTCAGTCAGCATTTTAATAGATAACAACCGATGGTATTCTACTGGTTTTTATAATTCATACTCAAAAAAGAAGATTCATGTAATAGAAGACCCAGCGTTTTCTATGATATGCAACCTTTTCAGATATTTACTTACAGTGGATGTGTTTGGTCTGTCAGTTGAGTTCATTAGATCCACTTAGATGAACTTATAGCTTTTTCTACCAAAGTCACAAATTCAAAATATAAGGTGTTGTTTGCAAATAAACAATCAATAAATAATGATAAATAGTTGCTCACGTATCATTGCCATTGAAATACAAAAACGATTAATTGATAAAAAATTAACAACGAATTTTTAGCTTAAATTTCTATTTTAATATAATTATTTTGAATAAATATGATAGAACAGAATAATCGCTAATTAAATCCTTCAAGTTGCTGTTGATATTAAAAGTTCTAAAAGTAAGTATGAGCAGTTTTTAAACTTTAGTTATTTTGTGAGAAGAATATATTATCGAGTGAACGTAGAAAAAAGAACAGTGGCGTCAAAAATCATGATCGAAAGACTAAGATTAACTTGACTTACCTGCATCTTTTTGTTTTATTTTGCAGTACCCATTGGCAGCGACCAAAAGTTGTCTTGATGGTTTTAATTGATTTTGTTAGTTTATGGATTCTTATTTTGCGCATCAATGACCTGAAAATGATAAGATTATACAACCAAACTAGTTGACACCAGAATACCACCATTTTTGCTTCTCAATACATTAACAATGTTTGTCAGGGTCATTGGCTTTGGCAGACCTTATTTGCCAATAGCCGTATCGTTTTTTGGACATTTTGTTTTAGCATATGGAGGACCCATATTCCCTGGCTTATATCAGTGGGCGGAAAAGCTGCTTACCATCTTTTCACTGTTCAGTCCTATATGCGCGTATTTATTTATGCGTATTCGACACTAGGACTATAACAGTTCGCAGTTCAGTTCAGTTCAAACGAACTGTTCGAACAGTTCATCTGAACTGAACTGAACTGTTCAAACAGTTCAGCTCAGTTCAGTTCAGACGAACTGTTTTTAACAGTGCAGTTCAGTTAAGAGGAATTTTGAACAGCTCCTCTGAACTGAACCGAACTGTTTGAACAGTTCAGTTCAGTTCAAACGAACTGTTCGAACAGTTCTTTTGAACTGAACTATTTCCGAACTGTTATAGTCCTATTCGACACTGGTTCAAAGAAAAAATAAATAATTTTCTTGTTTTCCATCTTTTTAGTTATTTTAATTATTTTTTTTTGTTTTGTTGTTATTACTATGTTAATCATTATTAGTCTTTGGTTGGCCATTTTTTTAGTCAATACATGTTCTTCAGGTTTTACTTTGTTACATACATCATCTTGTTCACTTTTATCGCACTACGGAATACGAAACAAAAATTACTGGTCGAACAAACAGTTAGCAATTCTAGTTCAAATCATAGAACAGAAAAGCCAGCATGACAATATATGGGTGCTATCAATGATAGTAGCGGTATTTTACACTGTATTCATAAAAACAAAAGGTCATAAATACAGTTGACGATGATTTACATTAATTTTTCATTGCATTCAAACATTGAACTCTAAAATTGTTGGCAAATAGTGATGTATTCCATATACTGGCATTTTCTTGCCCTTTGCTCACGTCAATACAATATAAGTGGGCCTTGTCTTTTAGATTTCTATTAGAAAACACTGAAAATAAGACATATTTTATTAACATTATGTAAAATAATACATAATATACATAACTAAAAACATAAACGAAGAAACAAGACACATAACGATGCGACTGTAATAAAAAAAATAATATATATTTCACATAAATAGTTCTTGCTAATATTGAACTCCATCATCAATTCTGTCCGATCATTGAACATTAAACATAAATGTTGTTTCGGAAAGACAAGTTACGTTAATTGTCAGAAATCACTATGTAACCAACAAAACCAAGTAATAAATAGCTCGTACCACAAAGGATAGAAGCAGTATGACTATAATAAAAGTTGTTTCGGTAAATGCTAATTAATATACCGATGAAAACACAAAATGAAGCGATCCGTGATATATTGACAAGAAAATATACATGATCTCCACTTAATAAAATAAGTTCTCGAATAAGATAAAGCTGCAATACAAACAAAACTAACGGTAAGATGCGACTGATCTTAAGCTGTGTACGAGTCAGGCAGTATTGCGTTGATACGATAGAGCAGCTGCAATCTTCGTAAGGAATACCGTAATATAAATTTGCCTTAACATGCTGTTGTGAACAAGTTTATGCAAAGAGTATTGAATCACGACGGCATGACAACAAATCTACAATAAATTGTAAGGGTGAGGAAATATTATAACAAAAATTGATCATCTGTCTGGAGACATTTTTATAAGGATTTTAACAAAAGTTAAAAATTTACCACACATACTGTGAGTCTCTTACAAAAACTTCAATATGCATTCAGTTCTTCAAGCTAAACAGTAAAGAGATTGTCTCTAAACAACACTGATCTATTAAGGTTATCGTCATCATATGAAACTAAAATATACTTATGTAACTTTCCAAGCAAATACGAAAATATAATGTAAATAATTACGATTTTTATTTGAGAGTCATATTAATGCTCTACGGTATCTCTGGGTTATTACATAACTTCATAGACGAATTTTTGCATTCAGATTAAAATGAAAACATACATCTACTCAGTCTCATCTTTTTTGGTAGACGACTAGAGGTAAATATTAAATGAGGCGAGCTTCGATAGTTTTGAAGTATAAAAAAGACATCTACTTAGATTTTATGAAGGTTTTGGTGACAATAGTTAAAAATCAAAATATTATGTTAACGGAAAAGACGAGAAATAATCATAGATGGCGTATTTTGTTTTGTACTTTAGCACGCTCTGTGCAACTATTTACGTGCATCCGACTAAATAATTTACGTTTTGATTCTGAAAATTTGCCAATACAACTTTCTTTTCACGCATTCCTGCAAGGTGATTTTATGAATATCTATACCAACTGAATCACTCAATATTTCATCATCTGTTCTATTTCGTAAATAGATTTTAATAAAGTATTCGATAGAAATGTGCGGATAGGAATAATTACTAAGGCACGTTTTTAATTTATTGACTATTAGTGATTCCTTGTAGCTTTTAAACGATGGTGAATATTATTTGACATAAAATTTAACTATTGAATATTTAAGAAAACTGAAAATGACTATTCATTTTCATCAAACAATACAAACGAGGTTAAATTTAATGAAATGAACATATATCTAATCTAAACTACAGATTACTCATCCAAAATCTATGAAAGTATTTAAGGAAAAGAAAAGCATCTTATATAATTGATGAGGAAACAACACCGAATAACATATGAATATAGATATCGGATGAGCGGTGTTGTATACTCTACTGTTGAATCAGGGTTCCGAATGGAATGTCGAAACAAAATGTTTTCGTGTACTTTATTTAACTGTTTAAAATGTACAGGTACACTTAAATTTTGCAATCAAAGTGTACCAAAGTGTACAGATTGAAGTTTGCCATATAATCAACAACATAAAACAAATGCTTAGGATTAAATCAATGACTAATATACGCACGATTATTCACTAATCTGAAAAGAGTATGAATATATTTGAGAAAAACAGTACATAGCAGCATTCTACTTTAGCAAAACAGCACAAAAACGTGTATATTTCATTTTCCGATTAAAAGAAAAACCAGCAAAACTCAGTCAAAATTTTATAAATTCGATGATTTATGACTTTTACCTTCACCAATGATTTCACGTTCGGAATCAGCTGATAATATTGGTTCTCATACGGTACTACTATTTTCATATCAATACAAATGACATTCTGTTGCTGAAAATCTAGGTATACTGAACGACGGGTTTAATTATTTTACTTCAGTTTCACTCATCTTAAGTAAACAGAATAAAAATTTCATCGTTGACGTAATAAAACAAAATTAGAAGTAACAAACTATCTATCCGTGCATCCTTAAAATAAAATAGAAGAAAGAATATTCTTCGAAAAAATTAAAAAAAGAACATTAGCTCATAGTAAAATTGATCGAAACAAGGTGATTTTGTACAGTTCCTCGTTCACTAATATTAACTCATATGAAAACAGATTTTTCTATCAAAATCAAAGTGTTAATTTTCTAGACAAAGTGTATTACGTACATGCTGTTTTTCTCAACAACCGGTACATTAAACTTAGCAAGTGTTTCGTACATTTTGATTCTGCTTGGTACACTTGCTGGCAGTGTTTCTAATAGGAATCTGAAACAAAAAGTCAACTGACATTTTATATTCGTAATCAAAGTGTAAAATAATACTTTGTTTATTTAAACAAAGTATCACAAAGTTTCCTGAGGGTGTGGGTGTGGACATGAGATTTATTTACACCCACACCCACACCCTCAATTGCGACAAATAACTTTATAAATATCGTCATCAACAAATGGAAAGTTGCATCTTTGTAAATCATATGATTATTTTTTAAATTCATTAACTATTGAAAATGAAATCTATTAGTATTTAATCAGTCGAATATCTATTGAATTTCCTCGAATAGTTTTGAGTAACATCACCTTTTTTTGTCATACGCCTATAATGACAAAATATTTTCTTTCAATTTCTATTATGAGCAAATATTCTAGAGAACACCAGAAATAGTTTGTTCGTAGAAATTCACACCAAAGTGTTTTTTACACATCAATAGAATATCTTAATATGAAGCAAAGGCAGTAATTTTCTATGCATTGAAGAGAATTAAAGATTATTATTGTATTTATGCTGTCTGCTCTTTGGTACAGCAGAGCTTAAATAAAAGAATATTTAATTTTTTTAAAGTATTTTCGCTTATTAACACAACTTATAACAACGGAAAATATTGGTGAAATTTTTCTGGACGAACAAATGGTTGACATACATCAAGACTTCTCAACCTATCGAAATTGAAATACGTTACATTATTGGTAAAATTATTTGTTATCGTTGTGAGTGATTCGTATTCGATACGAAGATTTAACAAACGAGGTAGATGAGCATTGTTTTGCAAGAGAAATAGTTCAGCATAGTCAACATGCGCATATTGTAGATTGAGAAATGTTGATGAACGTTGCTTGTCTTGTTGTGCGTGACCATTAGATATATATATAAGAATTGAAGAAAAGGAAGATCTTCAGAAATTAGTTTAAATAATTTATGCTCAAAAGGAATTTTATCATGCATCGTCAATTGTCGAACTTTTTGAAGCATGCCACCTTGATAAGAATTGTTGAGCTGAACAAAGTCTTCGAAATCATATGGAACTGAATAGAGAAAGCAGTAGCCTTTAGTCTTCATTAAATTAGCATGAACATACGAAGTAACTTGTTGATATCCTCTTCCAATGAAACTAAGTTGAATATCTTCATTCGATGAAAGCTCAGCGCGAACTTCATCGTTGAAGACTTCCGTGTTGATACAAAATGTGAATTTCTTTAGTTGTGTCATGTAAATAAGAAATTGGTCATATATAATTGAATACCATCAACATAAGTCGAATCAAATCTTGTTACTGATAGATATAATTTCAGTTCTTCAAGATTTATCATTCGACAAAGTAATGGAACAATTCAAATATCATAATAACATGTGAATCTAACCGCAGTTAATGAGAAATATTTCAACTTGGGAAGCTTTTTCCTAGAAAAAAAAAATAAATAAAAATGATTTATTTAGTTCAATATTTATCTTGCAGAAGATGATCATTGAAAATGTACTTACTCTTGAACCTACATCTAATATTGGATCCAATATCTGTCCAACATTAATAACTAATGTTGATAAAGAATCGAGACGACCATCAAGAAGATAAAGACAATCAACGAAACTTGCAACATTGATTTTTAATTTGATTAAAGTTGAAGACATATGACTTGTTGATGCTACATAATAAATAGGAGTCTCATACGTTCGTGTGTGAAACATATCACAAAAATTCAAAACAGTTAAATTTTTACATAAACTTTAAAAGAAGTTCATTAGACAAAATACTGGTAACTTTTTAACAGAAACAACTAGAGATCTGTGTTCTTCATCGTTCGAAAGGACAGGGTAACGTTACCAGTCCGTTCTTTCAAGCGATGAAGACTACAGGTCTCTAGTTGTCTCTGTTAAAAAGTTATATGCATTTTGTCTAATGACCTCTTGCTTTAAGAATTCTGATAATAATTAAATTCATTATTTAGTTAATCAATGATAAACAAAATAAAACAGTATACCCGTTAAATATTGATAAAGTATTTCTTTTTGAAAATTAATAAGTGATAAACAATAAAGTTGAGGATAATTGGCAGCAAGAATAATGCGTTGCATTGAATATTGTTCAATAGTCAGTTTATATACTTGATGATGAATACGAGGTAAAACTTTTTCAGAAATTTTTGAAAGAATTTTAGTATTTATTGAAGATGTTTGATCATACAGTGAAGTAATGGTCATTGTATCAGTCATATCAATATTACGAACACAAAGATAATGAAGTGCTAATCGATCAAATTGTTGATTAACATCAACAAGTGAATGAAATACATCAGTTGTATTGAGTTTATTTAAAGTGACGAGTAAAATTTCATCGGGTAAATCAAGTATATTGAAATCATTCTTATTCAATATATTCATGTCTATAACCAACTCATGCAATGCATTTATCTCAATGTATACCTATATATCTCGTTGTCGTCCATGAGAAGAATGGCGAATAAATATTGATGCAGTCAAGTTATTCTGCAATTCGACTAATTTAAAATGAACTAACGAATAGAATTGGCATTATTTGATAGATGTAGAAATATCAATCACTTTTCTTACTTCCGTTTGTTTGACCTCAGGAATGGGTGATGAAAATTTTCTTTCTGTCTTATATTTTCCCTTTTAATTTCTTAGTGGTATATATATATCGGTCGGTTTATTAGTAATTGCTGCCATTTGATTAAGACCGAATACGTTTTGATGAAGTGCTAGAGAGGAGACTTTGTGTGTTTGTTTGTTTGTTTGTTGAGACAAACAGATGATCTTTCATTTTACAACTTCTCACAGTTTTTCTACTTTGCTACTTCATTACTATGGAGCTGTAATTATAATAAAATATTACAGATAAACATATATCATCTGATTATCACATTGCGACCGATTCGAGATTTTTTTCTTTGAATTTGTTTTTTGAAATCCTTACGTGAAGATATTGACTATTCAAAAATATTTATAATAAATTCGAAATAATATTTGATTTGTGCAAGATATTATGTGAAATGCATGATTCATTTGATTTGAAACATAAAACTAAAGAGAGATAACTTAACCCTTTAATAACCATCATCGTCGTTTATTATGTATTGATGTTCCAACCTTTTAGAGGGTCGCTGGGCATGGCGTTTTGGCAACCTGACCCTGTCTTGTCCTGCATTTTTTGCTAATGAACAAAAATCCAACAATTATAAAACAAAAAAGAAACAACATTATGCATCTCGAAAATTTCGTATCACCTACAATATCAGGATTTAAAAGTTGTCTTCTTTTTTTTCTAATAGTTGACCTGATGAACTAAAAACATGCTCGGACGTAGCTCATATGCAAGACTTCCACATAAGAGTTTACTCACAATGACCGTCTGAGCTGTCTACTCTTAAACGTGCTATTGATGGTAAAATGTTTTTATCGTCTACGCTTTTGTGCAATGTTTTTGCTAGCTCCTTATTTATAGCCACGAACATCATTTATGAATTCTTTACGACGACTTAGCTAATACAGCAAGTTATGGAAATATTAATGAATGTTTATTCCACCACGAATGTATTTGTGACCAGTCTAAATGGATTTTCAGTTCATTTTTATTTTTAAGCATTTCTTATCAAATAACTTTGGAAAGTGGTCTACAGGGTGTGGATCTAAGTGTGGATATGAGATTTATTTTCATCCACACCCTTCCAGCAGGAAATGACTGTACCGATCATGTTCATGAGTGAGAACATGAATTGTATGCTCCGATGTCTGATATTACGATCTTTCTGCTATCTTTAAAACAGTGAAATCTGATTGTTGCCGGGTCTTTGGAAACATTGGCATGCAATTTCAAAATAATAATCGCTTATTGTGTGTGTTGCAGCAAAAGACTAATGCGGATTAACAAAGTATTGCTTGTGCTGCTTTCATTCTTACGCGTGATTTTTCTGTTTTATGAACCAGCAAAGTTTCGCTTCATATTTTTTGAACGCAGCTCAATTTCGTTTAATTAAATGCGAGCTGTTTGATTGCTATGTCAAGTACTTTGCTGTACTTCTTAGTATATAGCTTTACTTGAACCTACCGTATTATAATTTTAAATCATTCTGGAACTACTTATACAATGGACAACTTGAAATTACTTTTATATTTCACGTATTCTTCGATTTCAAGTACGATATTGCCCTTAATTTTTATATGTGACTCTGGATCTGATCATTAGCAACATCAAACTTATTTGCATAGAATGATTTTATAGTATGCAGAGATATAAAATAATTATGTTTTAACAAGAATGAAGACAGTTTAGAAAAAGCCAATATTTTTAATCGCATGTATTTTCTATTTTTCCTCAGGCGCACTTCATAAACATAGTTATTCCTGTATTACTTTGAAACGAATCGATCATTGATTGTGATGGTTTATATTCGTGTGTATGCAAGTCGATTCGGTTATAAATTCTAGTGGCGACTAATTCATAAATAATGGCATGTTTCATTGGTTTAATGGTTGTGATGCTCGGCAGACTGCAGAAAAAGAGAAGTCAAGGTCATATTTTACTTTCTGTCTTATTATTGAGCAATATATTTCCCTTCAAACTTTCCTGCTGTTCTATCAAGCTCCTTTATACAAAGAATAAAATGAAAAGAAGTATGAAAGTTGCTGCTAATGGCAGAACGCAAGATATTTTTTCTTTCTCTTTTTTTCTTCGTCGGCACTCCGTGAAATAATATGATGCGTTTAAGTATTTTAAAGTAAAGCATTTCTCGGACGATCGTGTTGATGTTAAAGAAGTTTGTAAAATAGAAAGACAATATTTATTTGCGCGCATTTCTACACATGAGTACTGTCAACATTCACGCATTAAATTCTCAATAAATTCTACTCTCTAGAAAACCGAGTTCGTGAAAGCTTAAAGGTGTGAACGTTTCTTTTTATTAGTTGTCAAACGATTTTACTATTTCTAGAAAGTGTTTGAGATATTTTTAAATTCCAATATAGTAGAAATCAATTTAGATTCTATAAGTAAGGAGAAATCAACATAAACTTTTGTAAAAATGATTTAACCAATGACTCCTATGCACACTGCTTGTTTTTTGGTCATATATACAAGTTAGTCTATGATATCGAGAATTTATTTTTTCTTCGGTAGGAAAAGTGGGTATGTGAAATCAATAAAGTGGAACTGGCGCTTAAATTCTATCATTCAATAATAAAAAACAGAGAATAGGTTATTTTTTATGTTTAATATGAGTTAGTAACTGTAGTTGATTGCAAAAAATGAACTATTTCCGACATTTCTAATTTTTTTTAAACAATATTCTGTTTTAAATATACCTTTTTTTGCGTTCAAAATTGACTGTACATTTTAGAGTACAACTCTTATCATGCAAACATTATTTTTATATAATTAAACTTCCGTTAAAGTTTCTCAATATTTTCCTCATTCCATAATAGCAATTTCATATTAACTATTATGTTATTCTTGTAGAAAAATAGTCCCCTTTTAATCTATGTATAAAAAGATTCTTATGAGAAAAGGATGTTTTCTTTTTAGAATGTAGTTAAAGTTAAGTTCGAGTTCGAGTATATCTATACCAAAGATTCATCAAGAAGCATGTTTCAAAACTGTTATTCACATTCAAAGTATAATTCGATAAGTTCTACGAAAGAGTTTAAATCAGATCGCCTATAACACACACATAAAATCCTCAAAATTCAGAAATACCGGCTCTTCTATTATATAGATATAAACTTATGAACAAACATAGAATAGTATTATACTAAATTAAATATTGAATAAATTATAATACTTGAGTAAAACGTGACCTTCTGTCGAACCTTACTGTTACATATATAAAGTTGATATTCATTCAACCATAGGCATATATATATATATACTTTTCTTTGCTTTGATGATGGTGGTGCGGAAAGAACAAGACGCTAATACAAGTAACACAACGACATATATGGCTCCTTATATGTATTGCAATCATCAAAGTAACGACAAAAAGATATCTATCTGTAACTGAGTGAAAAGCCATCTTTGTATGTGTAAGAAGAATGGCCTGAAGGGGATCGATGCTGGCTGAAACGCCAATATTTAGTCATTATTTGATATAATACTTCAGCGTAATGGGTCGGGCAGATAAAATGGCGATAATTTATGAAATCCTTCTCTCTTATTAAACTTTATAAATACTAGAATACATTTTGATATGCAAAACTAGAGGAAATTGCTTAGAGAGTATTTGTATTACTAGCCTTCATATAGTAAATTTGTTTGCATCTAGTGAAAATTTTATATTGAAGTTATAGGAGAAAATGAGAATTGAAGTAGCAAAACATGAATGAATAAGAAAGAAGACTGGTAGCAGTCTATTGACCAACCTAAACCAATTAAAAGTTATTTCATAAATAAATGCATTATAAAATCAATCATTCGACAGATTTTTTGTAACAATGGACAATTTCGGACCAGATGAAATTCAGGTTTTACCTGACAAGACTCCTACACCAGCTTCGCCGACTACAATAAACGATCAGTCATCCGATCTACCGACGTATATCATTCGTCCTAAAAGGTCAAATCAAGTAAATAATGAGTCTGGTTATACAGATGAAATTGAGATTCCGCTAGAACCTCTATTATCCGACGCTCGATTTACATATGGCTACTTAAAACACATTCAAACATACAAAGATTTATGCAACATAAAAGACAAGTCTCACAAAAAGAAAGTCAGGTAAATTCAATTGATTCGAATATTTTTTAAGATGTGTACGAGATATGTTGAATTAAGTTTCTTGATGAACCAACTAGTTAAAAATGTTTCAATCAGTTAAATCGAATTGCTTCAATCATAAAGTTTTTATATGAATATAATGCGTTGCCAATTAACAAGCTTTCATCACATATATGATTTGTATCAGAGAGTTTTGATCTATTAGGTTCGTTATATAACGAGAAACCTTCAGGTCGTACAAACTTCTCTATATACGGCTTTGATTATGTTTTGAAGATAAAAAAAATAGTCTCACTGCTAAACTCAACATGATCAATTAGCTCAACCGTAATTGCTTCGGAGATGATCGAAGGCATAGATGGAACCGGTCCGGCAGACCGGTACCGGACCAGCCGGTCTGCCGGTTGCCGGTCTGCGCAATTTTTTAGTCATATTTCTTGGTCTGTAGATGACGTAAATAAGGACAGTTAAGGTTTTCATGTGGATAATATAAAATTCTAATCTTAAATTGTAAATGATATTATACAAAATTTGTGTTATTTTAATTCTATAAGATTATGCAGCAGTTGCATAGTCTTATAGCGTATGTGAAAGGCGATACTCTAATATTTGAAGTATGAGTTATACTTTCAAAACTACATTTATACTATTTTCGACAATTCAAACTCAAAGGGGGAAAATCGTATTTCTGTATTTTCATATTTCTATCTATTTCGAAAGTATTTCTAAGTGTTTTTACGAATTTCTATGTATTTCCAATTTNCGACCCGGCGATTTGTTGCCAGTTTTAGCATTAATATCGGCCGGCCGGTTGTTTGCCGGTTTTTGCCAGTTTTAGCATTATTATAGACCGGCCGGTCCGGTCCGGGCAGAAAAAACTCGACCGGTTCCATCTATGATCGAAGGCCTAGAGAATCGTTTTTTCTATTTGATCATCATATTAACAGTGTTATAGTTAAAACCGAACAAAGAACAGTTGCAAATTGGAATCATTCGAAGTTTTCACTGAGAATTCTTCTACCCCGAATAAGGTGAGTTTCTCGTTTCGTACTGCACCTTCTCGAGCGATGAAAACTTTAAGACACAATCTATTTTATTCTCCAGCTAATCAACTACTATCTCCATGCGCAATTTTGCTTGATGTGTAGTCATTTGCATAAAAAAATCGCATCTAGAATAGTAATAAAAAGTGAATGATCTCTATATTCGAAATATGTCTTACTTATGGATTGTGTTGAAGTTCATAGCTTTGTAAAAATTTCCTATAAATGAAAAATGGATCAATACAAGGTCATTACTTAATATTCACATATCTGATATATGTAGAGATTTCTACAAGAACCAGTTGGCGTTTATTGATTCGCTCGAAGCAATGCTTTTGCCAAATGCTGATGGAGAAAATACAGGGACATCGGGTGTGAAACGACGGGATCGCATCATTAAAATACTTACGACAGCCAGTCTAATCATTAATATTGTATGTCTATAATTGTTGATCTCATTTAAATAGTTTCGTTTTTGTTTACAAAAGATTCTAGTAATTATTAAAGCAGTGGGTGCTGTCATATCAAACTCACTGTCTATTATTTCGTCAGTCGTTGATAGTGTAGTTGATCTTCTGAGTAGCATTATACTTATGTGGGCAGCTCGTCAAATTAAAAAGAAAAACATTTATAAATATCCGACAGGTAATTTTTTGTTGACATTTTCTTCAAAAGAAAAAGTATAATCGTATTCTAGGACGAGCACGTCTTGAACCGGCCGCTATTATTATTCTATCCGTGATCATGTGTGCTGCAAGTGTCCAAGTAATATTCGAAAGTGTTCAAACATTTGCTGATGATATAGAATATTTTACAAAACCATACAATCAAACGTCATGTAAGAAATTGCCTGATTTAGATATGAGTATAGTGCCCATTGTCGTCATGGTGCTCACTATCGGTAAATATCATTATTTATTATAAGAAAATATTGAATGATCTCATTTCAAGTATCAAAAGCTGTGCTTTTCTTGCTATCCTATCGAATAGACAATCCAACCATGTCTGCTCTTGCTGAAGACAATCGAAATGATGTCGCATCAAATATCGTGGCTCTTGTTTGTGGACTTATCGGTAACGTTTGATATTTGTTGAATACAGCTTGTATGTAAAATAGAGAAAATCAATCAGTCGTTTCTTTTACTTAGTTTGGATATTTTTCTATATCTAATTGACACTACAGTTGTTTTTCAGTTGACTGTAAATATTGATGAAAATTTTCTTGAGAAGAAATCGAAAACTTGAAGATGACTATTTATGTAGAAAATGTTAAATTAAATCTTGAACAGAAGAAATGATGGAAGGTTATCTTTTGTAGGTTCCTATGCTCTGAAGAAAAAAATAAGACAAGAGGCCATCGTCGTTGATCCGATTGGTGCTCTTCTCATCTCAGTGTATGTTATAACGGCCTGGATTCGTCAAGCCTGCAGTAAGTATTAGACGGTTTCTTGAATCAAATTAGATTTTCTTAGTTTGGATAAATTTCTGAACCGAAGTCTGAATTCAAATCAGACCTATTCAATTTCACTAGTGTTACTTGGTGGATTCCTGATAATAGCACCGACCGAAATTTTGTGCTATTTTTGAGCTGCTATTTAACGTATGGATTAGTCAGTAACTATTATACTAAAATAAATCGATGCCAATTTGTATTCATGCATCTTCATTGTAAAGATGAAGAAATTTTATCGTTACTCTTTGATTGGTCCCTTTAGTCCTCTCAAGTCAGCTCTAAAACCAGTTTACTCTTGTTATGTGAAATTTTGAACATGTAAAGTTTTCATTGAATCTTATTCATGTGAAAATTTTCACATTTTCCATAGGAGTCTCAATGATCTGATATGAGTATTTTGCAAAAAAATAGGACTTCTGCAACATTAGCTGTAGGAATAATCATTCTAACTGTAAAAACTACAAATAATGGATGGTTTTAGCTATTAATAAGTCTCCTTGAAAGCTTTAGTTGTACAAACTTTGAATGAAAAAGGGAAAGGTCAATTTTTTAAAATCATCTGGAGACTGCTCACTACTGGTGTCCTAGGAGCACAGATAGATGGGTGGAAATCGGTATAGAGTTATTTTCGTTTCGTAGCCACTTACCTATATTTTAAACAGCGACTAAAAACTGACGCAACACATTGAAAGATAGTCACGACGCCTATATAGCAACGATGAAAATAGTAAAAAAACGGCTTGGTTCCCATTATTTTTGAAAAACTTCAACAGAACTGTGCTCATAGCATGCTTTTGATATCTCATCTAAAGCGAACTGGAAGTGGAATATTTTCCGTTGGTTTCTATGGATTACTTTGATTTCGAAATTATCTTCAGCAGTGAAACAGCTTATTTTATAGTTTAGAAAAGGTACTCAAGTTTCTTTTACTTTTTGCGTAGGACAAGTTCGTCATCTGACTGGAGTAACAGCTGAACCATCATTTCTTCAGCTTATTACTCATCTTGCTTACAATTTCCGTCCAGATGCAGTAACAAAAATTGATACCGTTCGAGCTTTTCATAGTGGAACGAAATTTCTTGTTGAAGTCGACATCGGTTTGCCAAGTTCAATGCCGCTGGCTATTGCTCACGACATTGGAGAACAATTGCAAAAGGAAATTGAGAAGCTCGATAATGTGGAACGTGCGTTTGTGCACTTGGACTTTGAATTTACACATGGGCCAACTGATGAACATAAAACTGGGTGATTTTTCTTGTTGTGTATTTCTTTCTAAGATTTTTGTCGACTATATCGGGAAAGCTACTATCTCTGGCATATGGCTACCCATAGCATAAGTTATAAAAACAAATTTACCATAACTCTATATGCTTTTGGCTGAAGGTCAATTGAATGGAAGTTGATGAACTATTGGAGAAGTTGTCATCATTCATAATTGTGCTGACATGAAAAAGTGAAATACATGAAAAATTGTTCATTGCAGAAGAAACATGCTCATTATTAAGAAAAGAATTGAATGATTCAACATAATTTATAAAAATACAATCAAGAACTAATTTATGTATTAGAATTTTGAAAAAAGCTGATTGGAAATTAGTGTTGCAATCAGATCCATAATGTTCAAGCCGATTTGCGCAACAAAATATGCCTGACAAAAATGAAATTTCTCAATCAATCACCATTAAACTACTAATTGAAATCTTAGTTTCTGAGAGGATCTATTTTTAAAGACTTTGATTAATAACTATTGTTGCTATATTAATCTAAAAAATAGAATCCAACGAAAGATATGGAGGTGTAGTCCAGTACGAAGCGTAAAAATAGATTGTTATTCAAGTATTGAGACTAAGAAAACAAGCGGCATTGTTACTGTTTATATCTTTCGGCATACATGCATTGTTCTACCGATATTCAATCAAAAAGAAAGAACTCAAGACAATATGTGAGCACGGTAGTCATTATTGTAAATCAGGATCTGCGAGAAAACTTATATTTCATACATAGGTATGTGATACCATTGATTTGTATCAATCTTTTGGATCAGATTTATTGCTTATTGGTATCATGTTTTCATTGTTAACATCGATATTGACATTGAAAATAAAATTGTGACAACTCATTATGTTCTATAGTTCTTGTTTGTTTATTTGTTTATTTTTACTTGATATTACTTTATTTTGTATTTAAAAAAAAGAAAGAATAGATTGGTTTAAATACAAGTNTTTATAATTTCATGCATTAGTTTTAAATTGAATTACATCATATCGAATCTGCATTAGGCCACAAAGCATTTGACAACACGTAGGTCTCTGCCCAGCATAGAGAATGTGGCGGGATAGAAAAAAAACCACGTTGGTTGGTGTTAAATCAAGCGCAACTATATGACATCATGATTTCTTTTCTATTAAAATCATCGGGTATAATGCAAAATATGTGTGTGCCTCCCAAAATCATTTTTATCCTCGTAAATATCGAATAAATGAGGAAGAGGAAGCGATCATTTATCCATGACTCCTATCGGTTATCATTATTAT